TCACCCCAAAAATGGGTGGTGGTGGGTAGCCTCCCTCTGCCTTCATGATGTGTTGGGAGTTATTTGGGCTTGGTGGTGTTTTGTGTAAAGGTATTTGTGTGCTGCTTTTGTTTGAGGAAGGTGTTGAGAGAAGCCACTCTGCGTCATCCCCAAAGTGCTGGGTGGATGCGGTGGGATGCCAGAAACCCATCTGCTCCTACAAAGCCTAATTCTTCCTTAGACTTTGATTTCAAACAGGACTTCAGACTTTATTCCTTAAATGACTGTTTGTGGATCGTGGTATTAAAACGTTTATCGTTTTTGCCCGGCTGCTGACACGAGGCTCTCTTCCATGGAGAGAACTGAGGCTGATAGCAGGCTGCGCTGCTGGAGATGCCATGCTCCGGCCCGATGTGCGTGCTCCTGGTTTGCTTTCTCAGCGTTTTCTGCAAAGCGCTGCCTATGCAACGAGGCAGTTCTGCCTGTGGTAGTTTCTGCAGCCATGGTTGAAACATCTCCTCTGTAAAACGCATACATGTGGCAGGGGCCAGCAGATCCCACCTGCGTTTGTACCTCTTGCCTGTACGTAATGGGAGTCCCTGCTGGGTAGGAAACAGCTTTTTTTCCAACTTTTGCTTTGTGGCTGGCAGAGTTGGGTTAGGTGGGAGGGGAATGAGGGCCCAATGAATTAAAGCAAGTTCCGACAGCAATCTTCCAACACTTGCTTAGCAGATGTTTTAGATCTCATTACACCAAGGCCCTGTTGACTTTCTGCCAGAAGCTAAGCATGGGTGTCCTTACCAGGCAATGCCACCAAATGAAGGAGGTCAGGAGCTTTCCTACCGCATGCCAATGCTGGCATGAGGGAGATGGCAAGAGCATCGCAGGGAGAGAAGGGCACGACCAGGGACACACGCACAGCCCCTTTAGTCCAGCTCAAGCTGTGGCTTGTGACTGAACGCAAACACTTTTATTTCAGGAAAAGCTTTTTGTTGCCAAAATTAATCCTGTCCCTTCCCTCAGCTGCTCAGGTTTGGTTCAACACCTCCCTTGAGCCAGGTCGTGCTGCTGTGGGTTGAGGGAAGCCCACTCAAGTCCAACCCAGCCCTCGTTGCGCTAATGCATCAGCTGTGTACGGTGGAAGGAGACAAGCGCTTCCTGCACCCATTTTGGGGCAATACCCTCCGATTTTTCTTGCAACTTGAAATGAGAAGCAGGACATGCCTTGATCTGTGCCTCTCCCACCTGTGTTGCTCTGCAGAAGTGTCCAGCTCGGTGTTTCTTACAGACCTCCAGTGGCCTTGGGGGAACGGGCACTTCCATACCCATTGCCCAAGGGGGAAACAAGAGGCAGGAAAAACTACATGGCTTCCCGGAGATGCAGGAGCAGAGCTCAGATTTCCTCCACTTAGTCACCATCACCCCACCATTCTCCCTCAAAGGGACAAAACCTAGTTTCAGTTCCCGCTCCCTCCATTCAGTTGAGGGTTTTAACACAGCGAGTGCAGATAAAGCAGTTAGCTACAAACTTTGGTCTCTGCGTGATCCATTACAGAGCAAGGTGTGAGTGTTTCTTGATGAGCTAAAGCAGCAGGTGAATTAACACCCAGTCCTGGAGCCGTGCCCCTTCCTGCTGAGACCATCTTGGGCACAAAAAAAAGGGTTTCTTGCAGTCCTGAGCACCCAGCAGGATCAGGATCCTTACCAAATGGCTTTTTAAAAAGATCTGAAAGCAGGTAGCAAACGTGCAGGTTTTTAAAGCGTCTCCTTAATGCAAGCATCCTTAGGAGGTGTTTTGAGGAAAACATACATGTATTTAGTCATCCAAAACTTTATACATGCTTTTATTCAATTCATCTAAACTTTGACAGCAGGGGAAAAACTGCGAAAGGCCTTTTTTCTGGCGCAGTTGCTGTTTGCTGAGTTGGGTTTGCGTGTTTGCAAGCAGATCTTAGTCTTCAGCTGAAACTTGTTCCAGAAAAGACAACTGTCTTGGGGGAAGGGAGCCTGGGCTCAGCACAGGATTTAGCAGACTCGGTTTGCTGGTCCCAGAGCCGATACAGCTCCTGCTTCACATCTTTTTAACATTCCTTTTTCAAAGCACAGTGGAAACATCAAATCTCACTGCAGCTTTGTGCATTGCATTGGCCCTCGTTGCAGGTGGAGAAAACAGAGGCTACACAATATTGCTCGAGGTTACAGACAGAGGTGGCTGAGCCAGGATTAGATTTTGGGGCTGTTTCCCAGGCAAATGGTTCATTAAACCTTCCTGCTTTCTGGGAGATGGGGTTGGGGAGGGAGAGGAAATTTCCATCTAGAGCAGAAGTGAGATTTGGTTTGGGATGATGGAAATGATATTACAAAATGTATTTCAAGGACTGAACCAGAAGATGACAGTGAGTATTAGCTGTTAGGTATCAGCTGGAAGCCATGTGAAGTATTACAATGAAGCTAAGATATTTACTCATTCCTTTATAAATAAAAAGATATTGCCTTCCCCGCACACAAGACAATGCTCCTTCACTTTCCTGCTGATTTAACCAGTATTTAGCAAAAATGCTTAGTCTGCCCTAACAAAGCGTGGTGTAAGTATCAAGAGAACAAATATCAAGGCTTTAACAAGGAGTGTCAATATTGACACTGTTCTGTGTTGAGGGATATTGGTAGGTTGTTTTTATTATAGTAAGCAACTTGTCAGAGGAAGACTCAGATGGAGCTTTGCAAGTGCCGATAAAACCTGCAGGTGCTATTGAAATTGAGCTCTTGTTTGTGTGTGCTTTGAATATAATTTCCAGTTTCAGAAGTCAGCTTTATGACTTTCTCATACCCCTCCTCCCTTTCAGTCTCTCCCACGATGCAGATTAAACATTCTTCCCAAAAAAGAGTTATTGAAGGATTGAACACCTCTTCAACTTGCGAAGAGATCTTCCTAGTCTGATGTGTTTGCTCCGTACCATGAAGATTACCCATCGCTGAGTCCAGGTGTCAGTATCAGGAGCAGGCTGGACACATCACCCCTAGCTTGTGCAGAAACTATGGTTTCTCCTGCAACCTTCTTGCAGTTCCACTTCTGCTCCATACCAGGTCATCTGCACCCCTTGCTTGAGTTGATAGCAGAAGGTTGATTCCCTACAGCAGATCAGGCTACATGCAATAGCTTGAATGCAATCTCTAGCTCAAGCGCCGTCTCTAAAGTGCTCTCCATGCACTGTGAAATTGGAGGTGAATCCTGCCACCGGGTAACAGCTTGGAGACTTGGCAACTTGAGGAGCTGCAGGCTGTGGAAAGGCAGGTCAGGCTTCCCCCGGCATCCTGCTCACTTGGGACAAGTCGTTTAATCTTGGCGTGTTGGATCTTCAGTTGGGAGTAATACTCCCTTCTCTGGCTGGGTGTTGCGAGGGTACTTACATCAGTAGTGGATGGGTGTTCAGGTATGGAAACGATGAAGCTACAGAAGGTATCCTGGGCCTGGAGCTGGTGCCTGTGCCCAGGCTGGGTGTTTCCTCTGCCGACTGTAAGCCACTCGCTGTTCAGTGTCTTAAGAAGACTAAATTGCATCACCTTGTAGAGACCTTTCAGAAGTGGCTGGTTTGCCATGTTGAGTGGGAATCACAGGCTGGGTTGCATTTAGATTGTCCAGACGTGGCCCTGACTGCCTTAATCTCAACATTAAAGGTTGCACAGCCTTTGGAGAAGATAGGCATGAAAGCACTGCAAAATTTTCCAGCCAGAAACTTAGTTCTGCGTTTTGCAAAGGTCTGGCTATTCTGGGAGCGCAGCACTTTCATTTCGCCATCCTGCGGGACACATTCATGTTTTCTACCCAGTTGTCAACACATTTTATTGGGATACCTACATTTTCCATGATTGCAATCCATCAAAATAACAGCCAGGTCTGACCTTGCCTTGGGTTGGGTAATCCCAAAGAGAGATGGCTGCAGGGCATCTAGGATTTACAAAATCACGAGCTTCATGGTACCTTTTCTGGGTGTCTGCTTATATGTCGTATGTTTGTTTCATTCTTCTTCTCATTTTAAACTAATCCTCAAAATGCCACAAAGCAGAATATTTCCAAATGAAGAGAGGATTTCTAAGGCTTAGGACAAAACAGGTCACCTGCAGATATCAGTGTTCCCTTACTTGACTCTGTTTTTAATGGATGTGTCTGTAATCATGTTTCGGTTCTGTGCCATGGTGGCCATGTGGGAACTGTTTCACTTGGGGCAGTAGGAACCCCTCGGTCCTTTGGTACAAGGCTCTAATGGGGGAAAGACCCACAGGCTATGGAGACTCCTTGGTTTGTGGTGGCCAAACGTCTGTTTGGGGTGGCCAGAGTTGTTCAGGGAATGGAGTTGCTTTTTGCTGAAGGTCTTGCTTGGGTGGAGAGGCAGCATGAGCCATGTCAACCACAGCTAAAAACATGGCATTTATCGTATGGAGACTTACCCAAATAAGCCTGAACTGGGATCTAAGTGAGGAATAGGCACTGGTCTGGCCCTCCTCTGCAGGATGAATATTATCTATTCTCAGTTACATCCTACCCACGTAAGAAACCATTTATTTTTAGGTGGTGTTTCCCAAAATAGTGGTGGAGAGGGAGGGTAACTCCGTTGTATGACATCACAACAAGCGGCAAGTAGCACCCCAGGAGGTCGCCTTTCCTAAACAGGGTTTCTGTGGTTAGAAAATACTGTTTATGGGTTGCCTTGAACATCCCCCTGTTAGGGTCCTGTGGCTGAAGCACTGGCCAGAGGAGACCTGGGGGGGGTCTCAGCTGGGCTCTTGACCTCACCATGAGCTCCTGTTGTGAGCCTAGACAAACCTGACCTCTCTGTTCCCCACCTCACACCAGCAAAGGAGATTAACCCTCCACACCATGCTGAAGCTCACGTCGATGAGCTGCTTAGCTCCCAGGGAGGCAAACATATACATCACCTAAAGCAAAGCCACGTGGAGATGCGTCTCCCGGGATCTGTTTCTGATTTTGCCTGAACGTACTTGGGGTTTGAATTTTGCTTCAGGACCAGGCCATGGGGAGGCTGAGACAAGGGAATGCATTTACTACAACGCCAACTGGGAGTTGGAGAAGACCAACCAGAGCGGCGTGGAGCGTTGCGAGGGGGAGAAGGACAAGCGGCTCCACTGCTACGCCTCCTGGAGAAACAACTCAGGCTCCATTGAGCTGGTGAAGAAAGGCTGCTGGTTAGACGACTTCAACTGTTATGACAGGTAATAGCCTAACTGTTTCTTCTGAATGCAGATTTAATTGTTTCTCTAAATGCAAAGGCTCATGATTTTTGCATCGAGGAAAAGAAAGCAAGTCCAAGTCAATTGGCCCATTCATCCCCTGTAATTACTTCTGTTGCTAATGCAGCTCTCAGAATTGTCACTTACCTGCTTTGACTTTCTAAATAGAAGCTGCAAAAGGCACTTTTAGGGTTTTTTTGTTGTGTGTGTTTTTTTTTTTTTCCCCGTTAGCAAAGCTTTGATAATTCTGGCATGCGTTGGAAAAACGTGTCCTGTACCATCAAATGAAGAGCAATATGTTCTTCCAAGAGCATTTGGCGATACAAAGGAAAACTTGGAATCATTTGGAGCTCTCTAGAAAAGCACAGATATCTGGGGGTGGTTAGAGGTTGAGATATTTTGGCGTTGGTGATGCTGCAAAAAGTTTCACTGTTCTTCGGCTGAATTAAGAGACGGGCCAGGAGAAAGAGTGGGGCAGCAAAAGCATTACGCGTGTTTGTGTGTCGCTGCCTGTAGCGAGCTGAAAAGGAAAGAGGTTTTGTAGTACGAAGGCTCCAGCCTCATTAAGTAGCTGGGAAAATAAACTAGTCTTTTCTCATTCCCCTTGATGCAATTCTACAGAGGGGAAAAGAATTACAGCTACAGAAAATAGCCCTCTGAAGTTTCACAGTTTAAAAGGACAATGCTCAGTAGCTCAGGACTCAGTGTTTCTGTTAAAAAAACCCCAGTGACCAACCGACCAACCTAAACCCAACCCTTTCAATAAGGATTAATAGTACATAAAATTCAAGGATTTGCCTTGGTATAACACCAATGTCGGTTGATCTCACCTTTGTGCAATTCCCAGCCGTGCATCTTCGTAGCCTCTCATTCCAAAAGTTTCAGGACATCAGGTCCTAAACCGTAGGGCTTAAGCTGGGACTAGATTTGTCCCATGGCTGGAGAGTTTTATCCCTTCAGCGCTGTATGCTATCCCTGCTTTTGTGCCCGTTGTCTTAGCTTATGCTGACTGTGAGTCGTTCCTCATCTTCCTTCTATTATTAGCGCTGGGGTTACTTTCCCACCACACCTATTCCCTTGCCAGTTGCGTAGCCAAGCTCTATATATAGTTAAATTTTTATTCTTTCCCGATAAATCAATCCTCCTTGGCCCATTAGTCATCTTAATGCCGATCCTTCTGAGAACAGAAGGTCACTCTAGTTTCCTACTTCCAAGCAGAAGTGTTTACTGTAAACAGATTTCTCCTTTCAGTGCCTGCTTTTGTATACAGTGACACTTGTATTGTCACTGAGTGTCTCTGTGCAGGGATGTAGTGGTTCTTAAACTTTGTCATAATGTGTTGCTCTGTTACAACAGTAAAAAGTTTCCAGGGCTCCTCACAAGCCTTTTTGCAGCCCTGGGGTTGAGCATCCATTATCCTGCAGCCTGGTTCTTCAAAGCTGCGGTTCCAGGGCAAAGCTAAAAGATCTTCTGAGAATTAACAAACAGTGCAAGTGTTGAAAGCAACATTTGAAAGAAAGGTTGGCTTTAATTAAATAATGGCTGTTTAAATTGAGTCTTTTTTTTTTTTCTTCCTTTGAGTGCCCTCGTCAGTCTTTCATACAGCAAAAATGGCTAAAAAGATGATTTTTCGATTGACAGTGCTGTGCTGATGCCCTTTCTGTCTCTGCCTTCAGCACCTTTGGATGCTGAGCTCCTGGGTGCAGCCTCGGGAGATGCACCTGTACCTGTATCTGCAACAGTGTCCCCTGCGTGCAGGGCATGGTCCTATTCTGCCAGGCTGCAGCTCCTCTCCTAGCGCAGGCAGCACGTGCTGGTCCATGCCGAGCGCTGCCTCCTTGTCGCGGGAAGGTGAAAAATTCAGGAGTGCAAGGGTTGGGACGTTGAGGGTGATGGCTCCTTACTCTCTTCTTTATCGTAAGGAGACAAGAACGTGGCATATGTACATTTAAGGCTGTAGGAAAAAGGTAGTGTTTAAAAATCGACTTGTGTGCTCTTCGTTTATTTACACGGCCCCACCGGAGAGGTCGTGTTCACGTTCCCTTGAAGAGCACGTGAACCACTACGAAACGTGCCCTCGCTGCCATAGAAAAATGTGTCATTCTCTCCCGCTGTCTCATTTGTAATATTTGCTAAGTATAACATGTCATATGTACCTGGACGGCTGCCCTGAGTGCACACCAACTCAAAGACAGGGATAATGAATTGCAGATGTGGAGCAGGCTGTTTTCACTCATTAGCTTGATTTCTTAACCAACAGACTTAGCAAAGGATGTGTTTTCTATTGAAGACTCCAATACTGATGCTGTTAAATCCAAACGGCTTGTTATCTGATTTCACGAAAAAGCATCTGGAAACATTGCTTAACTTGTTGAAACATCTTTGTTCATTTGAATAAGTCAAATAGCTGCTTTTTTTCTTTGAAGTTTAAAAAAATAAAAGCCTGAGAAACAAACCAAGTGCTTCCCAGCTGAGACCTTGCAGGAGACATTTCGGCTGTAGCCGCTTTTTTTTCCCCAGAAGGAATAAAGCACTGAAAACTACCCTGTCTTATGATTGAAGAGAGCCCTTTCCATGCTTCTCATGGCAGTATGTCAGTGATATCACAGAAAGGGAGGCTTGGCATGGGTTCATAAATGAGTAATAATGTCAAACACATATGATTGTTTTGCTACTTCCTCCGAGTGGTCGAAGGAAGGAAGTTATGCATATAATTTAGCTGGGCTTCAGGAAATAGTTTGATACAGTTCTCTGCGGAGAGCAGCTCTGCAACCCTAATAGCTAAAAGCAGAGGGTAACGTAGCAAAAGGTGGCAGGGAAGGGAAGCAGGCATTTAAGAAAGAGAAAGAAATGGCTGCTAGAGCACTGCAAAAATCACTGCATGTCTCTTTTGGCATTGATCTGTGGGAGAGGGAGGATGTGTGGAAGTGGAGTTGGTCTGATCCATGGAAGTCCCCTAACGCCTTGCACAGTGTGGAAGGAAACCTCAGTGCTGAGAAGGCTGTAGCGCTACCTGGATAAGAGGCGAATATGAAAAATGAGAGCTGCAACCTGATTTTCTTCAAGGCTTTTGTGGAGGAATAAGTTTTTTAAAGGAGAAAGAGATGGCACTTGAAAATTAAACTTAAAAATAAACAAAACAAAACCTGCAGCCTTCCTCCTGCCTGCAGCAGGAACTGTTGTTGCTGCTGGTGTCTGGTGCCCTTCTAGTGCGTATAGTGATGCTCAAGGCTGTGAGAGCAGTCTTAGCTCAGCCCTTATCATACATGCTTTATGGCACAATCTTTAATTGCGTGATCAAATACTCCTCTCCCCTGGTGGCATACATACAGGCTGTGGGAAAGACGCTGCTCAGGGAAGGAGGCATCTCTCCATCGTTTTTCTACTTCTTGTTCAGTTAGCGGCGGCGGCTGTTATTTATTACTCGCCATCTAATGCCTTTGGTACATATGGAAGCATTTGTTTCCTTTACGGTCTTTTCAAGGACCTTTGCTATCCACTGGGGTATTTGAGTGCCAAGTTGTTTTCTGTAAGTGGAGACTGCCGATCTGTGCAGCGCAGCAGCAGGAGAAGGCGCGTGAAGACGACGATTCGGGGCAGGTCGGCTCCCAAAGACAAGAGGCAGGAGCTGGCTGACGTTGTTTTTTCTCTTCCCTTCATTGCCGTGTCTGTCCCTCCCTGACGCAGGCAGGAGTGCGTAGCCACAGAAGAAAACCCTCAAGTGTTTTTCTGCTGCTGCGAGGGCAACTATTGCAATGAGAAATTTACCCATTTGCCTGAAGTCACCGGCCCAGAAGGTGAGTGACTGGGTGGATGGGGAGTTGGGGTCTCTTCCTCTAGACCTAGTTTGTGATGACTTTGAGTTGTTGGATGTTGAGCAAAAAAATACATCCGACAGGACACAAAGTACCGTTTTGGTTACAAAGTCCAGAAATCCTTCTGCTGGGATTCTTCAAGAATAGTTTTTTAATGTTGTTTCACTCTGTGGGTAAAGTGTGTTGGACCAACACCTCGTATACCATCAGTAAGGATTAGGTTTTCTTTATGGTGGATGTTCACAGTGGGTTCTTACAAAACAAAATCCCACACAAGGGGAAGAGGGCGGCGTGATTTATACAATATGGGTCAACTCAAACTCTTAAAAGGTATTTGACACCTTTGTTAATTTTCATAGGTCATAGGTCTCCAAATATCTTGGGCATCAAGGATTCTTGCATTTGATTGGTCTTGCCTTGGTCTGGGGATTGAAAGGGAATGGGAATGTGCGTCAGCTTTCAGAGTTTGTAGATATATTTCAAGGAAGAAAAGTAATAGCAGGTCCTTCTTCAGAGGCTAATAGAAAAATTACGATTCTTTTAGTTGTAGGCTTGCTAAAGTGTCATTCAATAAAAATTATTAAAGCAGGTGGATCTTTTCCTTAGGATGGTTTCTTTTGCTATCAACTACCTGCATTTACTGAGATGTTCCAGTAGACCATTATCAGATTTTCCTGGGCTTTCCTGTTAGGTTTTAAATTGTTTACATGGGTTTTATTATCTCCTGTTATTAATGTACCCGTAGCAACCTAGTAGCAAATATTCTTTCTCTCACAGTTTTTTGTTTAATTTGGCAAGTCTTGCTATTTTTTCCTTCCCTGTCTCCAACATAGCAACATGGCTCCATTTAGTATTCCCATTGTTTGTGTCTCAACTGCACTGATGTAATTTGGAACAAGAACTACTGTGGGAGTAGTGCATTTGATTGTGGCTCCGGCAGCATTTTACTAAAAACTGACATCTTGTCAATCACCGTAAAAGGCAAAGCAACGCTGTGAGGGATTTCGTGCTCGCTTAATACATTCGGAAGGGTTAAGAGGAGGAAATTTTCTGCTTTTACGTATCCCAGCAAGAAATACCCACCTTAAATAAAGGTCAGATGGAGGCTCGGCTTGCAAAGTGTGGTTTGGACCATTGTAACTCCATTACTAATAGCCATATGGAAAAGAGTAAACCGCAGAGCCTTATGAATACTGTTGGATGTGACAGGACATGCCACTAAGCAGTGTCAACTTTGGAGTAAAAGGAAGGATGGGGTTTGGTTGTATCTGGATGTACAGCTGACAGCGCTGTTGCGTGCCTGAAGAGTCCTTTCCCTCATTTACCCTGCTCTTTTCTCGCAGTCATCTATGAGCCGCCGCCTCCAACACCCTCCCTGCTCAACATCCTGGTGTACTCGCTGCTCCCCATCGCTGTCCTCTCCATGGCCATCCTCTTGGCCTTCTGGATGTACCGTCACCGCAAGCCTCCCTACGGGCACGTAGACATTAATGAGGTGAGGGAGTCGCTCCTCTTTATTTGGACCTTACAAAAGGCACAGAGGCTGCTCAGTATACGTTCACATCCACTTTTGCTTCACTCTTTTCAGGAGGCCTAACTTTTCTTCTCTATCTTTTTGAAGTTGGTGGTACTGTTGGCCTCCGTGGTGGTGTTAGCATACCCTGTGAGGCTGATGAGTTTAGACGGGGTTATCACCATGTCCGAGATTCCTAAGGGATGGAGTTACACAGCCCTGCTTGGTGGCTACCCTTCCTCCCAAACTCTCAAACCCGTTGCCTGATTTCAGCCAACTTTGCAGAGGAGCAGAGATCAGAAAGATGATAAAGTTCCTACCAGCTTTATGGGGTGAGGAGAGATGCTTTCCCTGTTGAAGCTCAGTTTTTATGAGCCATCAGAGAATGCATGCAGGAGGTCATCCTCATGGCCCAAAGCCATTGGGAACTGGTCCTTGCTGGCTCCGCTGTGCCCTGAGCCTTCTGGTTTCTTCTGAAGGGCCGAGCAGCTACCTCTCCCTCCCTCCTCTGCCCATTACAGCCCATACCGTGAACCTTTCCCATCTGAAAGCAGATAGGACAGAGCTCCAACCCCACGCGTCCTGCGGGGTTGCGTTGTTCTCCTGGACAAATGCAGAGTTTAAACAGATACGATCTTTATGATGCTGACAGACCTGTTTACTGCCCATTGCTAGGGTTATGTGAAACACGCCTAATGAAGTGCAAAGCAGTGGGAGGTTTTAGGTGTAGTTGGCTGTTGGGTCACAAAGATCAAAAAGTTCCTACTTTTGGCAGGAGGTAGCCTTGAGGTCATCGGTGTTTTACAGCCCAAAATAGCTCTTGCTTTGAAAACATAGGAGAATTCAGGTTTTGACAGAGGATGGCAGGCAGTAGTTCGACACACAGAGTGACACTTGGAGGCGTAGATTGTTATATACAAATACCCTACAAGGCAAGACAGGGAATTTTGGGCTGCTCTTGCTGCAAACAGTACATCTAAATAATTTGTATTAAATAAAATGTCACTTCTTTACGCCTCTTTCCCCATATGCAATCTCTCCATTCCTCCCCTCTCTTTGTTTTACAGTCCAGCTTCAGCTGGTGACAATGTTTTTCTCTTGTGCAGGACCCCGGCCCGCCACCCCCTTCTCCCCTCGTTGGCCTAAAGCCTCTGCAGCTCTTGGAGATCAAGGCGAGGGGACGCTTTGGCTGCGTGTGGAAGGCTCAGCTGATGAATGACTACGTAGCAGTGAAAATCTTCCCTATTCAGGTGAGAAGGGCATTGCATTAGGTTCTCACTCGCTGGGCTTCCTCACTGCTGCTGAGAAGCTCTAAGTGCCTATGGAGGTGTTTTTAAGACCATAACAAAGATGCATTTGGACTCTTCTGCTGGAGGAAAAAGTTCAAGGACCTTCCCTTCCTACACTTTTCTCCGTGTTCTCTCATTAACAAATGCTTTCTGTAGTAGTAGTTGTTGCAAGAAGGGCAAAAACAAGCACATTTTGAAATCTACAGGGTATTTTAACTTCGCTGCAAATGTCCGTGTTGTTAAAGTCCAGTGAGGCAGCAGCTGCAATGCCCAAAGTACACACAAAGGACCAAAGCCCTGGCTTTGTGTGTCCTGCCTGGGTAGATTATAAATCCAGACCCGAACCCAGCGAACAGTTTACAGCTTACAGAGGCAGAGCCCCGGTGCTGTGAAAGCTAATTGCACTGCAGCATTTCTGTCAGCTCACGTCTTCTGCTCTAGGAAACCTCTGAACACTCCTGACTTGACTCTAGGAATTGCAGATGGAAAGAGAAAAGCAGTCAAAAGTCAAATGAAAGAAGAATGACTGAAACATCTTTGTGCTTCTCTGCTATCTCTTTCTTCGTTAATTTTTCGCCCCGTATTTGTTGTCATAGCGTTGCTAAAGGAGATTTGCACATCTTCTGTCCAAGCCAGCTGTGACCTACTAGTAAATATTCAATAGAGCCTAGATTAGATTTTGCAATTGTAACAATTACAGCTACAGTGCAGATCTGGGTGCTGCATGCACAGGCTTTTTTCTTGCAAGCTTCCTTAGGAAATCTTGACAAATCTTATTTCTCAGTGAGGTTGGGTTTGGATTCCTCCTCCCTCCCCACACATGTGCTTTAGGAATAGCTGAGGATAATTTTGGAGAAGGGAGACTGAGAACAGCAACTTCCAGTCTTTCTCCAGCATCTACCCTTTAGGAAAACATCCTCATTTTGAAGGGATTCATCACATCCAAACTCCAGAGGATGATATTAAGAGGAACGTGAGCAGCTCTGACTGAGCTGAAGGAGCTGTTTGCTTTAAAGGGAAGCGTGATCTTTGATGGTGCGTTTCTCCCTGCTTTAGGATAAGCAATCTTGGCAGAGCGAGAGGGAGATTTTCAATACTCCTGGCATGAAGCATGAAAACCTTTTGCAATTTATCGCAGCAGAGAAAAGAGGGACAAACCTAGAGACAGAGCTCTGGCTGATCACAGCTTTCCACGACAAGGTAATGTATTATTGCACGTACATTTTGGGAAGGCAGAGAGGCAGCTGGTGGTGAAGCAGCAGGATTTGGTGTCTGATGTTCTCCCAGAAGCTCCCCTATAATCTATCCAGTCCCTGGTGAGCCATGGCTTAGTGGTAGTGGAGGACTGCTCCTGCTCCTCTCATTCAAAGGCTCTTCCTTTAGCTTTCAAGGCTTTCTTACACAAACATAGGATTAATAAAGGTGGGACTTGGGGGGGGAGAGAGGCACAAAAGGCCACAGGCTCATGTATGTGGTGGTCACCATCTCTTAACGTGCGTAGATGAGCACGTGGGAGCCAGGGGTCGCAGACCATCGCAGTCCCAACTCACCCCTTGCAGACGGGCTCCGTGTTTGCTTTTGAAGCTTGGGGCATATCTCCCGTTTCATGGATTGCTTTAGTTATCAAACATGACTAACACTTAAAATAAAACAAACACGCACAAATCCAGGGTTGAGCCAGCAGCGTTATCCCTCTGTTTAATCCAAGGTCTACTGAGTCAATCATTGCCACAACCAGCTGATACGATGCATCATCTTCTTGCATGGAAGGCTTTCCCCTTTGTTAGGTTAGATGAATTGCTCTATTTTGAGATGGTTTTGTCCCTTCCTTACCTCCCTCCCCTTCCCTGGCAGATTAGTAGACTCCTTTTAGACATTCAGATATTTTCTGTGCTGTCAAGGGCTGAGGACTCATGAATGCTTCTGGATTTTATTTCTTCTTCTTTTTTACTTTTGCTAGTGATTTTTTCCCCCCTATTAAATCAAGGTTCAAATTTCTCAGGCACTCATTAAAATCATTTTCTAAACTGATGAGTTGGCACATCTGTCACGTAGCAGAGTCTGCGATTAAGAACATACGATGTCCTGTTTCGCAGGGCTCTCTGACGGATTACCTGAAGGGCAATATTATCAGCTGGAATGAGCTCTGCCATGTTGCAGAAACAATGGCCCGTGGCTTGTCCTACCTTCATGAAGATGTCCCTTGGTGCAAAGGTGAAGGACACAAACCTGCCATAGCACACAGGTACGGCCTCTTTCGTTAACGCCATTCAAGTGCTGTGTTCAAATGTTCACAACCTCTTTGAAATGATGCTGTTGAATGGAGGAGGAGATTGTGCTTTTAGGAAGTAAATGCCTTTTAACCGAACAAATCCTGTGCTAAGACAAGAATTTTTTCCAACCACATATGAAATGTGAAGGGAAAGTAAGTGTCTTGTCCGTGAAACAGTCAGTATGGTTGGTAGTTGTTTATGGCAAATGTCTGAAGGGTAGGTGCTTCCCTCTTCCATCAACTCTTCTCTTGACATGTAGTGGGAAGGGAAATCTGGTTGCTGCAGAACCGCTCTTTGAAAGGACTGTGCTTGATAAATCACATTATAATCCGTGTATTTCTATGGCCGTACCAAGATTTGGACCCTATTTTTCCCTAAGTGTTTTAGACTGGTAACTCCACTGCCTGTCTTCCCACAGAGCTTTTGATCATTAGGCAAGAAATGGAGAAACTGTAGAAATGCAGAAAATGGCTGCTATTTATTTTTCACTGTAGTTTTATAGTGCCCAAATTGTGCCAGGATGCTTATGAGAGACACCAGAGCAGGCACTACGGTGCCTCTGAGACCTCTTGGCACACGCTTCAACCCATCTGGGTGGCAGCACCGTGGGGACAGCGGGAATCCAGAAAGCAGAGGGTTAAACCGTCCTTATCACAACAATACTTGTTTTAGCCCTTCTCTGCAGTCCCACATTGCTTGCCCTGGACTAAAGCATCGCTACGGAGCAGTTTGCTAGTGGCACGGCAGGAGGGGGGAGTTTTCCAGAAGGGATTTACGTGGGCTACACGCCGTAATCCGCGGCCGTACTCCCCCGCCACCCACCGCATTTCATCTAGGAGGGACTTAAACCCCACGTCCAGCTGCAGCAATTTGTACCCGCTCTAGCGGGGCCGTCTTCATGTACGGCAAGATAATCCCTGTTTTTGTAAGGGTGTCCCTGCCCCCAAAACAACCCCCCTCCCTGAACCTGAAAGTTTCTGAGAGCTGGGGGCTGTTGAAAGAGCCTGCAGCTGCCTTTGTGCTGCTCCTGGAGCTGACCCCTGTGTCCCTGACATTTGTCCCTGTGGAATAAAGGCAGTGGTTTATACATGAAAATTCCTGAGGGTGGGGAACAGAGAAAGGCTATAGAAAGGCTTTAAAGCAACAGATCGTGCTCATTAGCGTCCCCATCCATTTAGCAAATGATAAAAGATGGAGAATGCACCATTTGTGTGAATCTAGCACATACCTACGGAAGAGGGATTTCAGGACACGGGGGATTTCCCTTGCATTGCCCCACTCCTTTTAGTTTTATTTTTGTTTTAAAAGAAAACACCAAATAAATCTTAAATCTGGGAGGGGGGGTATTTTTGAATGGCTTCACACATGTTCAAAGATGCTGGAGTTGCCAGGTGGGATTCCCCAAGTCACTGCTGGGCAGGGGTTCAGCTAACTCCTTACTGGCCCTTGGCGCTACAAGGAGGATTAAGGTTATGGGATCGCTTGTTGGTGCGAAAGTGCCCCCACGTGGAAGCTGAAAATAAAATCTCTGGTGTCTGAATTGAGTTAACGCACCCGTCGTTCATTGTCCGCTCGCTCTCTTATTCCCTAGTTTGAAGCATTACACAGAAAAAGATACTTTCTTCTTTTCAGGCCACTTTCCTTTATCAGTGACCATTTTAGGATGGTCTAATGCATACAGCGTTAGTGGGAATTCTACTTGGCATGGATATGTTTGCATTGCAGCTCACACTTGCCAGTTCAAGGTGGTTTGTGGAAGGAAGAAAAGCATGGAAAAATGGGGAAATGTACGGAAATAGGAGAAAAAAAGGAAGCACAAAGGGAAATCCCTGCGTCACGTATCAAGATGTAGTAGTTAACTGTTGCATGCCCAAAGGGCAGTGTAGGTGAACAACAGCAGCAAATGCTTACAGTAATACTGGTTTACATCTCGCTTCACTTTGGAAACATATCGTTCAGGCAGACTCTCTAATAATTTCTGTGTGGTCCTCGCTGTGCACTGTTTTGCAAAAATCTCGTGCGCAATCTGTACCATCCTGGAGGGCATAATCCCCTAACGCTGACTGAGCAAAGGAGTTTATCTACGTCATTAGATGATGGCTGTTTTCTAAGCCTGTGGAGAAACTGCTATAGCATGGAAACAGTCAGTCTCTAAGACGACAGGTATTAGGTAAATGGAGTTTTTCTGTGTAACGGAGGGGTACAAATGTTTTGCAGGCTCTGCAAAACTGTACTGTGTCCCTAGAAACCCCGTGTGTCCCCTTGAGGTGATGGAGGCTGGTTTCTGTTGGGGTTTCCTGGCTGTATGATGCTCTCCAACTTCACACCCGCTTCCCCTGTCTTAATCCTCGAGCCAGAAATGCCCATCATGCTGTGTTTAGCTTAGAAAGGAAAAATCCTTTCTTCTGATTTTTTAAGCTCAGAATCAGGGGCTGGGTGGTACAGGATGATTTTTGCTTGTGGTGCTTTGAGCTGGTGCTCTGGCATCCGAGGCCGCGGCGAGCAGCCCTTCTCTATGGTCCAGCAGTTTCTCTCTTCCCAAAGAATTTTGACAGGTCTCTCTAGTGCGGAACAATTGTATCTGCCCTCATTAATTATTTTGTGCAGGCCTGCAATGTCCTGCAATCAGCAGGGTCACCGAGTGAATTGATGATAGGGAAATTATAATGCTGAGCATACAGGACAATTGCCATCTGCTGTCTAAGGTCTGTAATTTAATTGCATTGCCAAACATTCCTTTTCAGATGAAAATGCGGGAAACCAGGGGAACAGGGCTCAACTGGTTAGGCATCTCAACCCTCCTCCACCCCGCCTTTCCAGCCCCTGCAGATTTACCTGAGCTGCCCTGAAACAATCCTGCTGCAGCACAGGACTGACACAAACGTCCCCTTAAAGCCACCTTCAAGCACAGACCCACCATCCCTACTGCAAATGCTTACACCTGCCCGTCAGCTGCCCGGTCCCATCCCGACAGCTCGTCTGAGTGTGGGCTTACCCCCTCCCCTGCTTGCTTTCCAGCCCTCCAAATTCTCCGGGGAAGATCGGTCCAGCAATTAAAACCTAAGTGTAATAGATGACTATGGCAAAAGTCTGTTGAAGTGTGTAGTCAGGGTGAACAGAGTCCCACCGGCATCTGCTAATTTCCAGAAAGATCTAATTTTGTAGGTAGGAGCAAACATCCTTACTAGGATAAAGAGTAAATTCACCTCCTTAACCTGTCTTGCATTTGTTGTTGGGAGTGAGAAATGTAAGAAGTGCCCAGAGGTGGGGGTCCACAGCTGGTGCTCAGAGCAAGAAATGGTGCCTTATAGTGCCTGCTCTAATTAAAACACCCCCTTCATATCACTCCTTGCTTTTCTTTTGAGGTTAATTCACCGTAGACTTCAGCTGACTCTGTGCTGGGCAGCACAGGGCTGCTTGGTTGTGTTTTAGGGATGCGGGCAGCGAGGAGCAGCCGAATTTGCCAGCACTGGCTGTGCCGGGGAAGGAAAGGAGCTGATTTACTGGGGGCTGCTGAGCCTATAGACTTACAACGTGTTGCAGTGTGATTTAGATGTGTGCCATAATAAACCCTTCCCAAACTTGCTTCTTGGCTTGTCCGTAGGGACTTCAAGAGTAAAAATGTCTTGCTGAAGAACGACTTGACGGCAGTGCTAGCCGATTTTGGACTAGCTGTACGGTTTGAACCTGGAAAACCTCCAGGGGACACTCATGGACAGGTAATCATTATCTTTAAAATAACATTTTAAAAAGTAGGGCTTGCCATAGCTCCTTGGAAGTGGGGGGTAGTTTGTATAGATGCATTTAATTCTCTTCGAGATACGTATTTTCCATAAAAGCTTGTGCTCAGACATAAATTCCAGGAGCTGCTTTGATCTGGGTGAGCAGGGAAAGTGCTCGGACCCTCCCGACGGCTGTGCAGGTGGAATGCCTCTGGCCCTGGGGGCAGGCGGCTTCTTCCTTCAAACACGGGACTTGCTGACTCTTTATTGTCTTGGTATTAAATATTAATACTCCTAAAATTATTTATTTATTTTTAAGAATTCAGCCAGGCTGGCTGCTTGGGTGACCTTTAGCAACGGCAGGTCTTGCGAGCTGGCTGTGCGCTGCGTAAACAATTTACTACGTTTTTATGGGTTCGTAATTTTCTGCCTTTGCGTTGCGGCGAGTGGCCCCTCGTTCTGCTCTCGTGCTGGGGCACAGCAAGGCCAGCATCCCCACCGTGTGCCTCCGGGCTTTTTTGAATGCCCGTCTCCAGTGCAGGCTCCCTTTTTACCTTTATCTCCGACGGAGTGAATACTTTTCTGGGTTAGCACCCCCCGCTTTCCTCATTTTTGCCCTCTTTTTGGGGGCTTTTCCAGTATTTTCCATGCCTTTTCATGTCCTGGCTTCCCCCTGTCCTCACTGCCTCAGGTAACAGCAAGAACAGATGAGAGTTTCCTAAAGAAAAATATTAAAAGCATTTCGATTCCCATGTTAAAAAGGTGGGTTTTTCCTTGCTCTGCTCTCCACCCTCCTACATTATGGGCTATAATTCTGCCACGTATATAACCACAGCCACATGAGGAGCTCGGTATGGCTCTGCCTGGA